AAGGATTTATCGATAGATTTATCTTATCGCAGACTTGTTTGTAAGAGGTTCACGTTTGACATTTAATTATATAAATTTTGATGCATCAATTAAATTTTGTTATTCGTTAATTTTTAATATCATTAGTCGATAATGAAGACGATTACAATAAAATAGATTTTTCAAAGCCAGCAGAGATGGAACTAGGTCAAGGCGAAGAAAGTTTTAAGGTTTCCTTTAGTGGAAAGAGGGTTAGTAAATGTATTAGTGACTTTTGTGAGCATTCGACTTTCACAAATTAATCGTAAATTTGTTGGTTGACTATCGTAGGATGACGAAATACATACATTTGCAGGTATGCGATATGAAAATAATAAGGAAGATGTAGATGAAGATTCAGAAAGACGCTGCCTGTTGATTTACGATGAAAATACTCATGTTCGCACAACTTCATTAAATCCTTCAATCCTCACTTTTGAAATAAGATCTAATTGTTATATATTTTCATAAATCGTGCAGACGTGGACTTTAGAATGCGTTGATTATAATTATAATGTTGGCACAGACGGAGATTACGGATCTGATATTGAATTCGATGATTATGAACGTCAATTTGAAACATCGATGCAAGATGAAGATCAGGGTGAATTCGCTGATGAATTTGATGCAAATGCTGAAGACATTGAGGATGAATTCATAGAAGAATATAACGGAAATGGTATAACAAATGGAATACATGATGAAAATGGGTATGAAGGAGGAAATAGTGAGGATGAATTGATAGATGATGATGCTTTTGTGGAAGTTGAAAATCCATTACAACCGTCCGCTCTTGGAGTCACAAATGTACTCGACGAAGAAATAATAAAAAACGATACAGAATCCTCAGGCACTTCATCGGGAAGTAGCTCGTCTTCTGTATCAGGATCTGAATCAGGAGATGATGGATCAGATTCTACGGGCTCGGAATTAGAATCAGATCTCGATCTCAAAAACTTGGAAGCTGATTTAGAGGCACAATTAACTGAAGCACCCAATGATGACATAGTGAAAACGAATGGCGTAAATCGAAAGTCAAATCCTTCAGTAAGCACTGTTAACTTCAAAAATTTTTGCAATATTTTTAGATTTGATTATTTATTTTTTTTCTATGGTAATACAGTCCGGCAGACCAGGGGGACCTATATCATTGACAGAATTATTTGGTGGAACAGGTTCGATAAAAAGCTTCATTGTATACTGTATTTTCAACTAATTGTAAATTCTGAGATTATTAAATGCTTGTATTAAATCAGGCAATGAACATGAACAAGATGATGAAAGTGGATCATCATCGGCAAGCGATTGATGTATTCCAGTGAAGGTTTGACTAAAAATAGACAGTGTCGATCGCAATCTTTACGGTACAGAAACGTCGATCAAATAATTCTAGACACTTCAGTTGTACAAAAATCCACATGTAATTGGCAGTTTTTAAAAATGAAAAAAAAAACAAAATTAAATTTATTATAATGTATTGCAATGTATAAACGAAAATTCATTAATAAAAAAATCATTTAAATTTACTAAAACTTAAAATTGCAAAAATTTTATATAGTTAAGAACCTTATATTATGTATTAGAATTGATTTATTTAGTATTAATATTGTATTTATTTTTAATAACAATAATACTAATTACTGTATATTAGTTATATTTAACACTATATATATATATATATATAAATAGTTTGTTTTTTTTTTTTTTTTTTTTTTTTTTTTAAACTTTGGCAGCCTTGCCCAGAATACCTTTATTAAGATTAATATATACGGTGGTACATATTGTTAAGCTTAACGAAATAGAACTGTCACCTCGCAGTTACTTCAAAGAGCACTACCGCACTGGGCCAATCATAAACCCAGAAAAACCTTGTCTAGCCAAAAAATCCCTCTACAATTAGGGTGAGGGGCATGGCAAAATTTTTAGGCATGCCTCTGGTTTTTCAGATTTAAGGGCATGCCCCATAGGCATGCTTCCAAAATTTTCTGTAAAATAATTTTTTTATTATATAAATTTTTGAAAAAAAGGCATGCCCAGGGGCATGCACAAGGGGAGGCATGCTCATGGACCCTGTGCTCCTCACCCTATCTACAATAGATCTATGTTCTTTTATGAGGAGGAAGAAAAGACAAAAAAGACTAAACTAAAAAGAAAATAGAGGAAATAGAGGATAATAATAAAATATACAATCAAGAAAAAAAAAAGAGAAAAGGGTAATACTAATCAAGAAAAAAAAGAAAAAAGCTGAATAGTTATAATTATTAGCCTGTGTTAAGCCTTTTAAAAATTAAATGCTACTAAATATAGTAGTCTTTATAGCTAATTATACTAACTAATATATATAAGCTCTCATACTTATTATTGTAGCTTTATCAATATCTGAGATAGAGATATCAAAAAAAAAAGATACTGGTTGTCTGAACCATTGTTTACTATCAAGACACATAACTGACATGTTTATAATCTTCTGGGTTCTACTTGTAAACATTTCATTGTTTATATCTAAACAACTTTATCACATAAACTTTTAGATAATCATTCTCTGAGTCTAAACAATAGTGACTATTTGGTAATTAGATTGTTAATCTTTTGATAAAGATAAACTAAATCACCCACTTTTGAAAATTTCTTCAAATGAAAGTGAGGGATCAACAGGATTTTGTAGATTGTTTCTTGTAAGTTTTATAGTCATATAGAAGTATTCTTTAATATTTAAAAATTTTGGTGTTAATTTAATTATTCTGTATTTTTAAAATATCTTTTTGGTTTGGGTATCAAATATAATAGAGAAGTTAGTTAGAGAAGAAAAACTTGACTTTTACAAAAACTAGTCCAAAGTAGTCTGCATCTTAGTTTTATACTCTTGGTATTTTGTCAATAATATATCTACTTTCGTAAATTAAAATAGTTCTACTGTAGTTTTTTCTATAACATTTTTTCTATAATTCAAAATTTTGGATTGTTGACTAGATAATTGTTAAAAAAAGTTTTGTATAATATTTAATATATATATAACTAGTTTTGTTAATAAAATTTAATTTAATTATGTATAGAAAAATATAGATTTAAATATTAATATTTTTAAAAATATTAAGAAAATATATTTATAATAGTTATTATACTTTATATAAAACTTATATAGTTACTGTATATTCTCAAAAATAAGCTACCTTCCTTTTTTAAAAGAAAAACATAAAAACTTCTATTATCTGAAAATAAGCTACTTATACAATCATTAGGAGTTACTCTATAGAAGGTCAAAATTTTACTAAGTAAATCGATATAGCTTATTAAGTAAAAGTTATTCAGAAAGTCAAAATACATATATTTTAAAGATTTTATTCAAATTGGATGACTTTTTATTAATAGATTTTTGCATATTACGTTCAATGAATTTTTTAAAATTTCTTTAAAATTTATATTCATTGAACATAAAAATCAAAAGTTAATTAATAAAAAGTTGTTCGATTTACGTGAAATTTTTATAATATATGTATTTTGATCTTTTGAATAACTTTTATTTAATAAGCCATGTCAATATGCTTAGTAAAATTTTCTTTCTGTAATCAAGCAAAATCTGCTTTTATCTAAAAATAAGCTACTTCTGATTTTTTGAGCTTAAAATCGTCCAAAAAATAGTAGCTTATTTTCAGAAATCTACAGTAGTCAATAGAATTAGAGTTAGAGTTTAGATTATATAAATTTTGATTATTTTTATTGGTTATACTAAGTAAATATTACAAATAGAATATCTAATATCATATTATAATTAAATTTATTTAAATATTAAATATTGAGTTTTGCTAAATCTCACTGATGATGATTATTACTATTTATATGTGTGACCAATCAGATTTTAGGATCTTGTATAACAAAAACAATAGTGAAACTAAAGAAAAAAATTAAAAAATCTTTAATAACAAAAGATTTTACTATGATAATGAACTTTTAGATATTAGATAAAAGTTCTCAGCATAAAATTTTATATATAAATCACCTTTTCTAATTCTAACTTAACTTACTTCTAATTCTAGACTCTAGTTTTTAATCAAACAGTAATAATTACCACTAGGGAGATTAAGTAAAGTTTTTAAATATTTTATTTAGTATAATTAATTTAATTTTTGTTTTTAAACTATTGACAAAATTGTCAGTAAACACTTTATCAATTGCACAATATATCACACTTAAATTTTTGTATATATAAACTTATCCTTTAAATTGTAATACAGACAAATTTGCTTGTATTCATTTTTTTAAACTCTAATTTTTTAATAAAATCTTAAATATTAATTTTAATAATATACTTTCTAAATAAAATATA